GGAAGGGAGGGGGGAAGAATAGGTGAAGGGGGGGGAAAGGAGGAGGGAAGGTGGTAAGGGGGGGGAGCTGGAGGAGGAGCCGCTCTGTGTTTGCCGGCACTGACCTGGCGGGGTAGTGGCTCTTATTCGGACGGGAGGGTCTGGTCCGGGTCCCTAGCTGCCGGTGGGGGCTGCTGGGGGTAGGAGCTGGCTGGCTGGCACGAACACCACTCTAAACCAAACATCATTAAAACAAAGGAAGGATTAATAGAAAGCATTACACCACACGTACACGCTCCTGCAGTTGTGCCCCATCTCTAAGGCGCTGTATTGTTTGGGGTTACCCGGCATTCCTGCCCCTCTTCGCGCCTTGTACGGCAGGTACGAGCAAGGGGACGAGCGAGAGCACCCCGGCTGCCGCTCCCGGGCGATGATGCTGCGAGGCACCCCCGCGCTGCCTGACGACTGGTCCGACATGTCGTACGGCGGCGATGTCCTTGAGCGCGAGCGGCCGCCGCCCCCGCCGCCGTCTGCCTGGCCGAGATCAGTTGCTGTTGCCGCGGGCCCGCGGGGCGGCGGCGGAGGAGGCTTCACTGTGTCGTACGGCCGGGGGCCGCCTGGTCCAGTGGCGGGGCCACCGCCCTGGAGCGTCGGGGAGCCGTATGGGGCGGTGCCCCCTCCGACCAAGCCGGTGCTACTGCCGAACCGTACGGACACAGCGGCTGTAGCGCGCAGCGGCGGCTCGTGGCCGGCGGCCGGGCCGGCAGCGGGCTCCGAGCTCGTGATCGGTGGGTACGGGAGTTAGGGCTGTGCGAGCTAGCCGTCAGTTACCCCCGGGGCCCCTTAGGGGTCTCTGAGGGCCTTGCTGGCGTGGTGGTGGTGGTGGGGGGGGGGGGCCAGACGAGTGAGGGGTTCCAGGGGTGGGGTATGTGGCCGGGTAGTCTGCGTGGGTGGGGGTGGAGCCGTCCCACCCCGGCCTGTCCGTCAATCCTCATGTCCTCCGTCAATCCACACACTGGCGGGTGTGCGGGTGGGGGTGAGGACTAGGGGGGTTACCAGGAGTAACTGAATAACTCGAGTTGCCGTATAGTAACGAAAAAGGTCGGCGTGTAGGCCACCGGTCGACGTGTGGGGTGCGTGTGTGTGTTGGGGGAAGGGTGAGTGGCAAACCCCCCCAAAAGTGGTCAATGTTACAGACTGTCTTAGGGATAGAAAGGAGCCGATCTGGGAATGAGTGTAGTACGGGATTACGGTTGTGGCCCGTCCTCACACACAACACACACACGCGGGCCCTTGCAGGCAGCTTGGACGAGGACGATCTGGCGGCAGCTGGGCTGGGGTTGCCTGATCTGGACATTGGGAAGCTCGAACTCGAACTCGACGAACAGTCCCCGGCCGGCAGGGACAGCAGCGGCGGTGTCGGCGGGGGCTCCGCCGTCGCCACAACAAGTACGGCGCTGCCACTAGGCGGCAGCGCCTGGGACGCCTCCGCGTCCTCCGCCGCCGCCGCCTCCCTGTACGTCGTAGGCGGCCTGGGCAGCTTCACCACCCTGAGCAGCCTGAGCAGTCTGAGCAGCTTTGACGAGGGGAGCCTGCCGGTGCCGGTGCCGGTGGTGTCGGGGAACGGCAGCGGGGGAGGGGGGGCTGCGGGCCGCCGTTCCGCCCCACGTGACGTGTTTCACGTGTCCCGGGGGGCCCAGCGCTCCATCGGCTCCATGATGGTGGTCACACCCATGGGTGAGGAACATACATACGTACATACATCGTGGTGTATTCACTGCAGCGCCATCCCCAGATGGAGGGGCTGCGGAGTGGCTGCGTAGAGTGTTGGCAGTCTGAGTCGGGGTCGGGAGCACACAAGACTAACCGACTTGTGCTGTGTGCTCCCGACCCTTGCGCTGTGTTTCGGCTTCGCCCCCCGGCTCTCGCGGCCCACAGTGTTATCTAAGTCATACATACATACATACATACATACATACATACATACATACATACATACATACATACATACATACATACATACATACATACATACATACATACATATACACATACACATACATACATACATATACACATACACATACATACATACATCGGGTATGGCTTGCACACCAGCTGGCTA